GACGTAGCCGATCAGCTCCAATGATTCTGGTCAGCCGCCAAACTCCCGGGCAGTGTCGCGGGTGTCGGCGAGGTAGGCGAGATAGCGGTCGACCTCGCGCCAATGCTAGTCGCTCCTCACCGTGAGGCCGCTCCCCAGCTTGTTGCAGGCGAACGCGATGTCCGGCCTGGTCGTCGTCGCTGCGAACTGCAGCGAGCCGACCTTCTGCCGGTACTCCTCCTCCTCGCGCTCTTGAGCCTCCTCATTGTCGAACGTCAGCTGAGCGTAGGCGTCAACCGAGACTGGCGTCTTCGGGACTCGACCGCCCTGCTCCTCGTCGACGAAGCGCCTGCGCAGCTTGTCGGCGTAGCCCTGCTGGTGCAGCCACAGCTTCCTGGCCGGCCAGTCGCGCACGATCTCCAGCCCAAGGTACTTCACCACTGGTGAGATCTCACGTAGCTCGAAGGCGGCCTCCAGCAGCTCTTTCAGCTCCTTCAGCATCGCAGTGCTTCTGCTAGCGGCAAGCAGGTCGTCAACGTAGACCAGCACCCAGCACGTCACTCCGTCGTCTCCGACCTTGAAGTAGAGTGCCTCGTCGACCTGGCTCTTCTTCCAACCAGCGCCCAGCAGCACATTGCCGAGAGCCTTGTACTACAGTAGCGGCGACTGCTTCAGCCCGTAGAGGCTCTTCAGCAGCTTACAAACCTGGCCGGTCCCGTCGTTGAAATAGCCCGGCTGGTACATGTAGAGCACCCTGTCAAGCTTGCTCTGCATGAAAGCATTCTTCATGTCGAGCTGCATTAGGTTGAGATCGGGGACGGCGACTATGCTGAGGAAGATCCTCAGCGTGACGTAGCTACTCACCGAGGAGGACGTCTTGTCGTAGTCAGCGCCGTACACCTGTGTGAAGCCCTTCACGACTAGCCTCGCCTTCTCGCGCTCGACAGTGTCGTCGATGCGGTACTTGGTCGTCAGCACCCATCGGTTCTTCATGATGTTCACCCCGCGTGGGCGTTCGACCAGCTCCCAAGTCCCCATAGTGATGAGGCTACGGATTTCTTCTTCCATGGCGGCCTTCACCGCCTTGCCCTTCCAGCTCGACAGCGCCTCCTTCACCGTCATCGTGGCAATGTCCCAGCGGTGTTCCAGGTCGGCATGCATGTTCCGCGTCGAGCTCCAGCAGGTCTTCATCCTCCTCGGCATCGTCGTACAGCAGGTCGTCGTCGACCTCGTTGTACACCGTGGTGAAGGCAGCAGGCGGTAGGCAGGCATGTAAGCACAACCGCTCCGGCGGCCGTCAAGCTCGACATGTACGTCGTAGCTCGGGCTTCGTGATCGGCACTTCCATTACATCATTGTCGGTGGACTCACCCGCCGACAGCTCCCCTTTCTTATCAACGAGAACGTCGTTGACCAGCTGCTTCGACCCTTCGACCGGCTGTTCCTCTGCTGCTGCCTTTGACAACTCTCCTGTTGACCGCTCCGTCTGCCGCTCCCCTGTCGAGTGTACCCCTGCCGATGCCTCCTGTTTGATCGGCTCCCCTGTCAGGTGCTCCCCTGTCATCGACGGCTTCCCATCGTAGTCGACAAGCTTGGCGCCTTGTCGTCCGCCGGCGATGCCACTGGCCGGCGCCACAGGCGACGCCTCCAGTCTCCCCTCATCGTTGGTGGCCGACACATGTGTCGGCGCAGGCAGATCGGCGACGAGAGAGGGAGGAGCAAGAACAGGGGGAGGTGGAAGAACCTCCACAACATCTTCATCAGCAAGCTCGTCGACTTCGGCGAGCAAGGGAACCGTCGCCGTCGAGGTGTCCGTCGGCGGGTGCGCCTGCGTCCGCTCCAACGCCGGCCCATACTTCGCCTTCCACACCTCCAGCGACAGCGTCTCGTAGAAGATCACCTCGACCGACGTGACCACTTTGTTGTCGGTCAGGTCGAGCACCTCCCAGCCCTTGCTCTTCGGCGACACACCCAGGTGAAGCCCCCAACGAGCCTTCGGCGCCAGCTTCCCGCCTCGTTGCTGCTCGGGAACCATGAACTGCACCATGCAGCCCCACACCCGTGCTAGCGTAAGGTCGGGCCTCTGCCCGGTCAGCAGCTGGTACGGAGTCGTTCCCGGCGGCGTCGTCGACCGCTCAAAGCAGTTGCGCACCCAGACCGCTTATCATAGAGCAAGGTGCCACCAGTGATGCTGCACGCCCATGTGCAGTAGCATCGTCCGCACGGACTCGACGACCATGCGCATCTCCCGCTCAGCCATGCCATTCTGCTGCGGAGTGTAGGGGCACGTCAGGTCGTGGACGATGCCCTTCCCGTCGACGAAATCGGTGAACGCCTTCCCGAGGAATTCCCCCCCTTGATAGGAGCGAAGCGACAGAACCGACTTCTTTGTTTGTCGTTCCACAAGCACCAGTCACTTCTCGAACTCCCGCAGCACATCGCTCTTCTTAGCAACCGGCATTGCCCACACGAATCGAGTATGGTGATCCTTCAGCAGTAGGAAGTACAAGCTGCCATCCTTGGCAGCCACCGGAAATGGCCCGCACAAGTCAATGTGCACGACAGTCAGTGCCTCCGCTGCATCCGAGCCCTTGGTGGGGAAGGTGTGGCGTGCCAGTTTTTCTCCGATGCACGGGACACACAGCGGGTCTGCTCCGGTAAACAACGTGATGTCGAGCCCAGTAGCAACATCATGCTTCGCCGAGCTCTTGATCGTGTCGAGGCTGACGTGTGCGAGCCGTGCATGCATCCTGTCGGGGGTCGTCTTCGTCGCGGAGATGATCGTCCGTAGAGCCACCACCTCGGTCGACGGCAACTGCGTCGAGCAGGGGCGAAGGTCAGTGCAGAGTATCCGTCTGGTCTAGCGAGCTCGACCGAGCACCTCCCCAGTCGCAGAGATGAGCAGCATCTCATCGCCATCGCCCTGCAGCAGCACTCTGCTCTCCTTCAGCTGGCCAGCAGACAACACGTTTGCCTGTACGCACGGAACGTAAAGTACGTCGGGGATGAGGACCCACTTCCCGGCCTCCCCTTGCATAGCGACGGTTCCGCGACCCTTGACAGGCTGCAATGCCCCGTTGAACCCACGCACGTGCTTCACCCCGTCGCTCGGCCCCATGTCGACGAAGACCGACTTCGTCCCCATCAGGTGGTGGGAGCACCCGCTGTCAAGTAGCACCGCCATCGGCTTGGCCTGCATGGCTGCCGCCACTGCCTGGAAGTCCTCGCCAGCCTCCGGCGCCAGCGAGACCGTCGGCTCCACTACGCCGACCATCGAGCACGACGCCTCCCCGTCGCCTTGGCTCTTGCCGCTGGAGCTGTCGACGTCTTTCGTCGACGACGTCTTCTTCGACGCTTGCTTCTCCTTGCGCGGCTTCTCTACTCGACGGGGGCGACGACTGGCCGATCATCCGCGGCCTGCCTTGTTGTCGTCCTCGTCACTGTCATCGCAGTTGGAGCACTCAAAGGAGAGATGGTCAGGGTCGCCGCAGATCCAGCACTCCCGCCGTCGACCACCACCTCGTCGACCCTTGTCCCGCGTCGACCTCTTCTCGTTGACGTCCTTCGTCAACCGCCCACCTCCGCTACCACCTCCGCCTGGCTTCTCGTGCTGCTCCTGCTGATAATTCGGCTTCGTCGGTGCAGCGTAACTCGCCTGCGGAAGGAACTCCGTGGGCTGCTCTGCCTCCTGCATCGCCTCATCCTCAAGAATGTAGCTGGTGATGGAGTCCTCGTCAAGGGACTCACGCGTGCCGGGCACCATCATCATTCTCTTCATGAGATTGTAGCTGTGTGGCAAGCCCTTGACGATGTGGGTGATGTAGGACGCCGTCGAGTATTCGGCGCCCGCCATTCGCATCTCGGCCAGGATCCGTCGAGCACAGTTGCAGTAATCCGTCGCTGACTCTTGCTCGCCCATCCGAATGTGAGTCATCTTCTCCTCTAGCTGTCCGATGTACAGGTCGTCCCTAACCTGGTACGTCCATATGATGAAGCGCCATGCCTGGTGACCAGCATCCAGACGCTCTCGACAGCTCCTGAGCGCCAGCTGCACCACCGGCAAGCAGCACCTCGAGATGACCATGAAGGTGAGCAGGTGAGCAGAACGAAACTCCTCGCGCTGCCCGACATCCTCCTCGGGCGGAATTGGCACGGTGCTGTCGGCAAAGCCCTTCAGCCCGGCAACCTCCAGCTGAGGTTTGATCGACTCCCTCCAGGTGATGAGGTCCCGTCGACCTTGCAGCGGAGCGACGGTGATTCGATCCGGCGAAAACTTGAAGTAGCCATACGCGGTTGCAATCCCGCTGGCCGTCACATGTGTCGTCGCCGAGAGCCCGCCACCACTTCGTAGAGGAGAGCGACGTCGAACATCGACGTCGGCGTGCGAGCTGCCTGCAGCCGCCGTCAACCGCTGCACTCGCGCCTGGATTCCGTCGACACTACCGTCGACATTGATCACTCCTCTCTGCCTCGTGCCTTCGCTGCCGCTGACTCGTGCACCACCGTCGACCTCGTCGTCGACACCACCTTCGTTGCGCACCGGTCGAGGAGAAGTAGGACGGGAAGGGTGTTCCGTCGCCCACTGCGACCGGATGCCCAACTCGGCGATCACCAAGGGGATCGTCCCGTACTCGCCATCCGCATGGCGTCTCCTCGCGTTAGCCAAGCGTGCCTCCAAGGTGTCCGTTAGACCCGCATCAACCACGGGGTCGACCGTGGCGACTATCGCTGCTGCCGGCCTACGAACGACTTAGTAGGTGCAGAAGTCGGCTCCTATCTGAAGGTCGCGTGTTTGATCGACACTCACCGCACCATGCGCAGATACACTCTACAACGGTTGTGAGCTGGACTACATGGTTGGCACGAACTACTAAAGGTGATCGTAGCTTTGCTTGGTTCCTTAGTGCTTGCACATTCACGAGAGAAATTGGCAAGAGTTTCCACTAGCAAAGTTAAGAATCCAGAATAATACAAGAAGCAATCACAACAAAGACTACATCAGGCACCTAGCAACCCTACAGCTAGCCTGGTCGACCGCCAGCGCAGCTCGGTCGATCGCCTGCCAGCATTGCATAGAGGAGCCGCGCCAGCACTGCAGAAGGGCGACCTGCCAACAAAGCAGGTCGACGGCGTGCCCCGTAGAACACAGCAGTGCGCGCGCTCGCAGGTGTGCGCAGACGATTGGCCCGACTTGCCTCGTTGGGCATCCGTCGGCTGTTGTCTGCGCCTGACGAGCCACATTGACTTTGGGATACCAATCCAAAGTCGCCTGCGCCATCGCGATCTTGACGACGTTCGCGAGCCTTTGCAGAACTCGTCGAGCAGGTTACCCGGTCGACCGGGTCGACCCCTGGTGCTCTGGTCGACCCCCAGGTGCCTCCGGTCGACCACTGGGTCCCTCTGGTCGACCCCCAAGTCCCTCCGGTCGACCACTGGGTCCCTCCTGGTCGACCACAACTCCTGTTGAGCTTCCCCCTGGTCGACGGACCCCTTGCGTCGACCAGAACTGCTTTGTCGACCTCCCGGTCGAACTGTAGGTCGACGAGATGCTCCCCAGTCCTCCCGGTCGAGTTGTAGTTCAACGGGATGCTCCATAGACCTCCCCGTTGAGCTGTAGGTCGACAGACTGCTTCATTGACCTCCCGGACGGCCCACCCGTCGCACAAACCAGTCAGTTGCAACTGTCGGGCTCCTTGGTCGACAGCAACACCACAGTGGTCCGCTGCAGCTCGACGTAACCTATCGAGCAGCTATCCCACTGTGAACGGTCGGCTGCTACTCCCGTACATCCGACCAAGTCGTCGGCGTTGCCCAAGCGAGGGCGGGGCCAACACTCCATTCCTGTTGACATTGGCTGGCCTTGCTTGCTGCTGGGGTGGGGAGGGGAAAACAGGGAAGGAAAGAGGGTACACTGGGGACTGTTGGGCTCTGCCTTGGCTGGCCTTGCTTGCTGCTGGGGTGGGGAGGGTAAAACAGGGAGGGAAAGAGGGTACACTGGGGACTGTTGGGCTCTGCCTTGGCTGGCCTTGCTTGCTGCTGGGGTGGGGAGGGGAAAACAGGGAGGGAAAGAGGGTACACTGGGGACTGTTGGGCTCTGCCTTGGTTGGCCTTGCTTGCTGCTGGGGTGGGGAGGGGAAAACAGGGAGGGAAAGAGGGTACACTCGGGACTGTTGGGCTCTGCCTTGGCTGGCCTTGCTTGCTGCTGGGGTGGGGAGGGGAAAACAGGGAGGGAAAGAGGGTACACTGGGGACTGTTGGGCTCTGCCTTGGCTGGCCTTGCTTGCTGCTGGGGTGGGGAGGGGAAAACAGGGAGGGAAAGAGGGTACACTGGGGACTGTTGGGCTCTGCCTTGGCTGGCCTTGCTTGCTGCTGGGGTGGGGAGGGGAAAACAGGGAGGGAAAGAGGGTACACTGGGGACTGCTGGACTCTGCCTTGGCTGGCCTTGCTTGCTGCTGGGGTGGGGAGGGGAAAAGAGGGAGGGAAAGAGGGTACACTGGGGACTGTTGGGCTCTGCCTTGGCTGGCCTTGCTTGCTGCTGGGGTGGGGAGGGGAAAACAGGGAGGGAAAGAGGGTACACTGGGGACTGTTGGGCTCTGCCTTGGCTGGCCTTGCTTGCTGCTGGGGTGGGGAGGGGAAAACAGGGAGGGAAAGAGGGTACACTGGGGACTGTTGGGCTCTGCCTTGGCTGGCCTTGCTTGCCGCTGGGGTGGGGAGGGAAAAACAGGGAGGGAAAGAGGGTACACTGGGGACTGTTGGGCTCTGCCTTGGCTGGCTTTGCTTGCTGCTGGGGTGGGGAGGGGATAACAGGGAGGGAAAGAGGGTACACTGGGGACTGTTGGGCTCTGCCTTGGCTGGCCTTGCTTGCTGCTGGGGTGGGGAGGGGAAAACAGGGAGGGAAAGAGGGTACACTGGGGACTGTTGGGCTCTGCCTTGGCTGGCCTTGCTTGCTGCTGGGGTGGGGAGGAGAAAACAGGGAGGGAGAGAGGGTACACTGGGGACTGTTGGGTTCTGCCTTGGCTGGCCTTGCTGGCTGCTGGGGTGGGGAGGGGAAAACAGGGAGGGAAAGAGGGTACACTGGGGACTGTTGGGCTCTGCCTTGGCTGGCCTTGCTTGCTGCTGGGGTGGGGAGGGGAAAACAGGGAGGGAAAGAGGGTACACTGGGGACTGTTGGGCTCTGCCTTGGCTGGCCTTGCTTGCTGCTGGGGTGTGGAGGGGAAAACAGGGAGGGAAAGAGGGTACACTGGGGACTGTTGGGCTCTGCCTTGGCTGGCCTTACTTGCTGCTGGGGTGGGGAGGGGAAAACAGGGAGGGAAAGAGGGTACACTGGGGACTGTTGGGCTCTGCCTTGGCTGGCCTTGCTTCCTGCTGGGGTGTGGAGGGGAAAACAGGGAGGGAAAGAGGGTACACTGGGGACTGTTGGGCTCTGCCTTGGCTGGCCTTACTTGCTGCTGGGGTGGGGAGGGGAAAACAGGGAGGGAAAGAGGGTACACTGGGGACTGTTGGGCTCTGCCTTGGCTGGCCTTGCGTGCTGCTGGGGTGGGGAGGGGATAACAGGGAGGGAAAGAGGGTACACTGGGGACTGTTGGGCTCTGCCTTGGCTGGCCTTGCTTCCTGCTGGGGTGGGGAGGGGAAAACAGGGAGGGAAAGAGGGTACACTGGGGACTGTTGGGTTCTGCCTTGGCTGGCCTTGCTTGCTGCTGGGGTGGGGAGGGGAAAACAGGGAGGGAAAGAGGGTACACTGGGGACTGTTGGGCTCTGCCTTGGCTGGCCTTGCTTGCTGCTGGGGTGGGGAGGGGAAAACAGGGAGGGAAAGAAGGTACACTGGGGACTGTTGGGCTCTGCCTTGGCTGGCCTTGCTTGCTGCTGGGGTGGGGAGGGGAAAACAGGGAGGGAAAGAGGGTACACTGGGGACTGTTGGGCTCTGCCTTGGCTGGCCTTGCTTGCTGCTGGGGTGGGGAGGGGAAAACAGGGAGGGAAAGAGGGTACACTGGGGACTGTTGGGCTCTGCCTTGGCTGGCCTTGCTTGCTGCTGGGGTGGGGAGGGGAAAACAGGGAGGGAAAGAGGGTACACTGGGGACTGCTGGGCTGGGATCATACAGACAGTGATTGCTGCTGTGGGGAAGCGATGTCAGGGAGGGTACTAGCAGGAAAGACGGAACACAGGAGAAAGGTGGACGGGGAGTGGGTGGGGGGAAGAAGAAGACGTGTAGGGATGGGGGAAGAAGGAGGGTGATGTTGGTGCAACACTGAATGAAAGAAGGAAAGCCCTCAACCAAACACTACAACAACACATTGTCTAGAATATAGTGTGGAAGGGTTGAAAAGGTTTCATTCTCATTTGGAAGGAGAGGGAGGAACGGGGGTGGGGTAGGGGCGGGGGTGTGATAGGAGTGTTAAAGCATACTCACTTTCAGCGTACTGGTCCAGGAACAGCACTGTCGTGAGGGTGCCTACTTTCTTCCGACCGAGCCTTGGCCGTCGCACGTACAAGTCGAAGTCGCTGTACACCCAATTGCGCCCATCCGTCAATGCGTCGTTGCAATACGCTTGAATCATATCACGAATGTAGCCGTTCCTGTACTTGTCAGCTTTCAGAACAATACGCACGATAAAATGCTCCTCCGGCTCATTGAGGCCTAGGGCCTTGCGCAGGGCCGCCTCTAGGCTTTTGGTACTAGGCCACATTGTGAAATCAGTGACTGGGGTGTCAAAAAACATGATATCAAGAGCCTCATCCACGTGTTCCTGCAGGAGAGCTACAAAAATTGTGCACAACACGGCAGAGTGGGAGAGAGAACAGGGGAGGGAAGGGAGGGCGTTAATGTTTGTGGCATGAGGAGTTTGCGGGGTGGGGGATGTAGGCACCCAATGCAGATGTCATTTGTAAGCACGGCGAAGGTTGAATCGAAGGGTTGCTGTTCACCTTAAGGTCCCCGTTCACATCCGAGAAAGCATCTAACGCCGTGATGACGTTATTGTACCACCCGTGTTGCCGTAGCGACATTGCAGAGCAGTCGATGGCCTGTCGTCTGATGTGGGCCTTTGCCACAGCACGGCTAAAAGCGGCCTGCGTTCGTGGCCACACCACCGGTGAGAAAATCAGGGTCGGTGTTGCATTCGGCTGGGTGCAAGGTCGAGTGGTTGAAGGAGCAAGCTGGGGTGCAACCGGCAACTTTTGGGAAGGGCTGGGCATATTGGCCTGGCGCTGAACCATGGCGTGACTGCCAGCATGAGGGCCTTTTTGCTGAGGTTGCTGATTCTCCAACTCAGCTATGCGTCGCGCCTGTTGTCGGATTTGCGCTTGCGCGGCCTCAAAAGCGGCTCGCGAAACCCTGGTTGCAGCAGGCCGCTGTTCACCATCATGCTCATAATGATTCTCCAAGGAGTCATCATCGTCGGAGTCTTCATCCGACCCGGCCTCCACATGTGATGGTCCAGGGTCTGGGAGAGCGGACTTCTATTTGCGCACACGGAGTGCCCATGGGAGTCGAGACGGCTGCAATTGTGTAGTAGGGGGCGCCACTGCGGCAGCAGGGGGTGCAGAGGCTGGTGGGATGAGGCCGGAGCCAGGCTGACCTGAGTTGGTTGGGTGCAACCCAGGATTGATATAGGAGGGCGAGGGTGAGAGTGCACTGGGAGCAGGTGGCAGGGAGGTCGATCCAGGTGCAACGGCGGGCCTGGACTGGCCAGGAACCGAGACGTGCACATAGGCAGCGGAGGGAGAGATCCGGGTAGCAAGCTGATGAGTCGCCGCCGCTGCGTTGACATAGGCGGAGGAGGGAGAGTTAGTGGCGCTTGCAGCTGAAGGGGAGGCAGAGGCGGTGGGCAGGCCAGGGATTGTGTGAGAGGCGGCGAGCTGATGAGTCGCCACGATGACATAGGCGGAGGAGGGAGAGATAGTGGCGGCTGCAGCTGAAAGGGAGGCAGAGGCGGAGGGCAGGCCAGGGATTGAGTGAGAGGCGGCGAGCTGATGAGTCGCCGCTGTATTGACATAGGCGGAGGAGGGGGTGATACTGGCGGCTGCAGCTGAAGGGGAGGCAGAGGTGGAGGTCAGGCGAGGGATTGAGTTAGAGGCGGCGAGCTGATGAGTCGCCGCTGCGATGACATAGGCAGAGGAGGGAGAGATAGTGGCGGCTGCAGCTGAAAGGGAGGCAGAGGCGGAGGGCAGGCCAGGGACTGACTGAGTGGTGGCGAGCTAATGAGTCGCCGCGGCTGCGTTGACATAGGCGGAGGAGGGAGTGATAGTGGCGGCTGCAGCTGAAGGCGAGGCAGAGGCGGAGGGCAGGCCAGGGATTGTGTGAGAGGCGGCGAGCTGATGAGTCGTCGCTGCGTTGACATAGGCGGAGGAGGGAGTGATAGTGGCGGCTGCAGCTGAAAGGGAGGCAGAGGCGGAGGGCAGGCCAGGGATTGAGTGAGAGGCGGCGAGCTGATGAGTCACCGCCGCTGCATTGACATAGGCGGAGGAGGGAGAGATAGTGGCGGCTGCAGCTGGAAAGGAGGCGTTATGTGCATGTTGACCATTTCCTTGAGTGTATGTGTCTGCTCCACAACCGCCATCACCAACTGCATCAGCGCAGCCTTTCTTGCCCGTGCGGACGAAAGTAGAACGCTTCCCCTTCCGCACTTCTTTAGGTTTCCTCGCACGTGTCTTGCGCTTAGTACCACCCGTGATCGACACATTGTTCAGCGACACGAATCTCGAGCCTGTGGCAAAGGGTTATAAAACAAACAGAAATAGCAATAAGTACATTTTGTAGATTAAGTCGTTTGATCCGACAGTGCGCAGGTCAGTTGTTCATACGAATGGCTATGAGGAGTGAGACGTACCTTCAGCAAACACGTCGTCCTCGGGCTCGTCTTGGGCTCGCCCATTGCTGTGCATCGCGACGGCTTCCGGAGAGCCAAAGGTACCCACAGCCGGGTTTGAGGTAACTTCAGCGGCTCTTCTAGGAAGAACTGCAGCTACGAAGGGACTTGGCACGGGCTGCATTGTGAAACTCAGGAATTGGCAGAGAATCGGTTGATTGGCCGTAGGGATATCTGGTAAGAACTAAACTAATATGCCATAATCTCACCTAAGGTACCAGATGAATAGCCTAGAAACCCGGGCACGTGGGAAGCTCAGAAGGAGGCTACTAATTTTCCGAGTTTGATTAGAAAACAAGGAATGGCGAAAGTACCACAAGGAGAAAGGTGTTTGTTGATGGGAGAAAGAGGAGGGGTGGGTGGATGGGATGGTCAAACGGGATGGGATGGGATGGTCGCGCCAAATGCGCAGCACCGTCCAAGCTGCAGACTTTATCTCACGGTCGACGTGTGGGGCGCTTTGACAGCACATCTTAGTCTCAGATCGAAGTTACGTGACCTCCCTAAGGGCGCGCCCTTCTAGTTCGTTTGGATGCGGCTAAATTAGATTGTTCACGTTTTTCAGCGGTAACAAACGTTTTTGGCAGGTCGAGATGGGTATTGAGCGCAAACTAGATGAGGAAAAGCGCCCCGTTACAAGGTTGCAGTGTGAGATCTTTGAGTGAGTTGCAAAAAACATACAGCCTTGGTTTTTGTTAGACACTTGAACTATCACATACTGTTGCTGGTTCTTGCGCACAATTAGTACCGTTGGCAGTTTAGTACTCCCAGTGCAATTAGGGTTTTGGTGTGTCCAAGGGTAAATTAAAAACAAGACACCTTGTCAGGGTGTAATATGTCACGATATCGCGTGATCGCCATGTGTAGTCCGTTTGAAAACATAATTTTGGCCTTGATAGGCTGCTGTTCAAGGTGAATCCACAACAGTAGTGCATGGCACACCCGCGACACGCATAGTCGTCAGGGCATAAATGTTACGTCCACTATGAATGGATTCAGTCCGCTTATATTGTTTTACACAAAGCATTTGTACAGATGTACAGCTGCAGGGTTGTGATGGCATGTACTAGTAGACTTTCAACAAGGTGTTGCGATCAGAAGGTGGATCGTGCCTATGATCACCTCAGCAAGGTTCGCAAGATCATAGTATTGCAACGGAAGGTTGTGACTGTAGATCAGAGTGAATCTAGATGGACACAGTTGATAGAAACAAGCTCACACTTTCATTTATTTAGGACTACAAATGAATGTGAAACGTGGCAAGTACGTGGAAGCCGACGGAGCAGTCTGTCGACCTGACAAGTACATGGCAGTCGACGATGGGAGCTCGGCCCCAACAGCTGACACTTCTGGTCAACGGAAGGGGTACGTCGATCGGGGTGTTGCTAGACCGGTGCTGTGGTCGACCAGAGCACCTGGTGGTCGACCACGACACCTGATCGACGAGCAGAGCACCTGGTGGTGTCCTGGTTGACCAGGTAACCTGCTCAACAGTCGTAGACAACAGCAAACGGATGCACAGCAATGCAAGTCGGCCCATTCGTCGGGGCGCATTAGCGAGCATGCGGACTGCTGTCTTCTATGGGGCAACGCTGGACAGCAGCTCTGCTGCAACGTTGGCACGCCGTCGACCTGCTCTGTTGGCAGGTCGCCTTTCTGTAGTGATGGCGCGGCTCCTCTACGCAACGCTGGCAGGCGGTCGACCAAGCTGTGCTGGCGGTCGACCAAGCCGTGCGGGCGGTCGACCAGGCGAAAGCTGCTCGACGGAGCATTCGTCAAACTACTCTACGGAAGTCTGGCGGCTGCGAAATTCGTCATGTGGAGGTAGAGCAGTCAACGATTGAACTCACGCTAGTTGTTGTCGCTCTGCACTGTCAGGCCAGAATTGAGCAAGCAGCAAGCGAAGGCAAGGTCGAGCCTCATCGAGGTGGACGCGAACTACAGCAAGCTGACCTTCTACCAGTACTCTGCGCGACTGTACTCCTTCGTCGTGTAGCTTGAGCTCGGCGTATGTGTCGACGGCGACTGGCATTTTCGGCACTCTACACGGCTTGTCGCCTGAAGTTGCTGGTGAAGCCACAGCTATCACGACCAGGCGGGACTTCTCGCGGGCGACCTACGTGGAGCACCCCCCAGCTGCGCGCAGCTGCGAGTCAGGTGCACCGTTGTCATGCGGGTGCAGCGCTGTGCAGCAGACTTGCTTCAACGTTGGCACACCGTGGACTTGCAACGTGGGCAAGCCGCTTCTCTTCAGGGCTGGACCGGTGCGAGCTATGCTTCGCTGTATCGAGGTCGACCGTGCTGCGCTGGAGGTCGACCGACTTGCTTGCTAGCTCTGATGTAATCATTGTTGCCAAGGTTGTTGCTACCATTGTTGTTAGCTTTCCTTAGTCAAACACTGGCAAAATTTCACAAAGAAACTGGCAACTTGTGTGCTCTCAATGGAACGACAATGGAATGCCGAGATCACATGAGCACTCGTGCCTAGCCCGCAGTCTAGCTCGCGTTGAGGAAGTTATTTCCGCTCCGGTCGGGCCGTAGGTGACGCACCAAGGATCCCCTCATCGCCGGCGGCCTACGAGGATCCGTTCCATGAAACGTCAACGACGGGCGGTGAAGGCGATGGCAACAAAGTGACCGGTTGGGGCACAGTAGGAGAAGGGAGTTTGACTTCATTTATGTCTGCGTCATCGTGCTTGTCGCAGTCGGTGAGCAAGGGAGGCATATTCGAGGACCCATCTGGCGACGGGCCAGACGGCTGTAGGCTGCACCCCCAGCACACCAACTTGGAAGTCGTCTGAGTCCATTTGAGTGTGGGACTATTTTACGTTCACCATATGAGGCATGTGTTATTTCGCGTATTTACTCGCACGGATAGTCTTGCGATTGTACCCACTTGACACATCAGAGAAAGGGTCCTTTGAGCATCGACTCGGCAAAGATGCCATGAAAATGTACAGTTATGCAACGACGATGAACAATCATACAGTTATAATTTCCAATAATGTTTGTAAGACAATCAAGGGTTGTTATGAAAAATACCTAGAATTGAATGTTTGTTCGCATGTATCGCCACACAGCCAAATTCAAACAAAGCGTAATAATAAAAGACCATGCGTAATAACTTCATCTCACCCCACAAGTGGGTTGCGCGTGGAAAGGGATATGGTACCCTAATTTCCGGCGACTAAGAGAGAAGCTCTCGCACGGCCTGTAGATCCGTTTGGCCCCTACCGATAACGTGAGGAGGTTGTCGCCTGCTTCTGCAAACAATAACATAGCTTGAAAGACAATGCTGCGGTGAAAATAAGGGTTTTTTCACAAACATGGCAAACACATGTAGCATGAGCTAACCAGGCCATAGTGTTAGAGCATCTAGCATCTTGTCTCTGCTGGACTCTTATATAGAGTGTGGCATGTTCCACTTTGTTCCTTAGGGGTTAGGCTGGATGGACTTGTCTCATAACAAACAATCTGAGTCTACCTGAGCCTCATCTCATATGCACCATCTCCAGCTGACTTGGTGGCTCTAGTTCTCACAAAATGCATGCCAACAATCCACCACAACACCATTTGACCATGGAATTTGATGCAACTTGTGCTTTATATGATCAATCCTCACATGTCATATGGGGTCTTGATGGCTGCATCCAAACAAAATCACTGTTAGGTGATGCCCAGCTAAGCAAATTCCAATCCACTTGTGGTCACTTCCATCATGTGAGGGGCACATGAATCCATCCATAATATCAACAATGGGCAACTAATGATACCTCCCACAGTCATCACTGTTCAACTGCAGCACTTGACAGCATTACTAATGGTGTGCATGGACAGGAGTGCTGCAGCATTAAGGTGGGCATGAATTGCCTTTAATGCCATTGTATTTTCCTGGAATTTTCTGGGCCTTCTTTTAGCATAAGATGTAGGCGTGAATTCCAATTCCTCTACCGGTTGAGTAAAAACATTCCCCACTACAAACATTCTCTTCCCAATCTTGCTCGACATACTTCACGTCTTAGGTAAGCCACCCTCCTACCCTTTCTCCTTAGCTAATGGCGGGCCCCTCAGCCACCTGACTCGTTCAACAACAGCAAAGATGTGAGTCGCCTATCACTGCTATTCCGCGTATGTTACTCTAGAAGCAACTCTACATATCCATCTCAGCTTGTTTGCCAAGCGGTCCCCGAACTATCGCGGCTCGTATCATCTCTTGTTCAAAGCTGACTCAGTGCCGCACCCGCCGTCACCGCCACCAAAGGAGTTCTGTATCTAGCGGCCCGTGCTTGTGACTTCCTTTTCGTAGTAGAATTCCATGATTGGGATGACTACTAAAGCTCCTCGTGCAGATGCGTATCACTCGGTAGAGATCTCGCTCACACACACCTTCTGAATGTTATTGAGATTAATCAGTCGCGATCTCATCCTCACGGTCGGGGTCTCATTCTCGCGGTCGAGATATCTTTCTCACGGTCGATATCTCATATTATCATGGTTTCAATCTCAATCTCATGGTCCAGATTTCATTCTCCCGGTCGACATCTCATTCTCCCGGTCTACATCTCTCCCTCACGCACGAATCCTCTCTCTCATGGTCTAAATCTCTATCTCACGGTCGAAAGCTCTCTATCTCACAGTCGGAATCTCTCTATCTCACGGTCGAAATCTCTCTCTCTCTCATGGTCGATCTCTCTGTCTCTCTCTCATGGTCGAAATCTCTCTCTCTCTCTCTCTCTCTCTCTCTCTCTAATGGTCCTTGTATTGATATAGCAGGAAAGTACAAGCATGCACGGTATAAGGGCCTAGGTAACCAACAAACAAAGCCAACCAGTCACACAACTACCACACCGTCACACACTCTAGAGCTCCAGCAAAGGCTCGACCACCGCAAAGCAGTCCCCAAGGTGCATCTCCTGCCCTATGCCTCCAACAGGTGGGTTCTCAGCTGCTGCAGCCTCCCCCAATTTGATCAAGAGTCCCACTGACTGAGCCCTCTGGAGGGCCACAGACCACCTC